TGTTTTTCAGTTAAACCTTTATCAAATTCTTATTTTTATGTACAAACTTCACAATAAAATATCAACTATAATATTTAGTACACTTTGCAATAAAATTAATCACATGTACCCTACAAGATTTTCTAAGTACAATTACCAAATGGCTACCAAATTTTCTATTGCTATAAGAGGTCCTAAATTATGGAACGCTTTATTAAGTGACGAGCTGAAAAATTGTTCTTCTCTTTACCTATTCAAAAAAAAATTGAAACAAAAACTTATTAAGGATGTTAATGAATTAAATTCTTTTTTAAAATTTTATTTTTTATTTTTATTTATTTTTAACAATTTTCTTATTAACTCTATAAACTATCCTATTAGCTTATCTATAGTTTTGATTTTTTTTAAATTTCTTTATACTATTTTCTTTTGATTATAGATTAGTAACTAGTCTTAACATACTTGTAAATAACTGTATATCATTTTTTAAATGGCACAAAGTAATTGTATATTTAACTTTTAATGGTTGTACACGCTTGCTTATGAAAGCACTTCGGGGTGTAGTGATAATGCAAGTATTGTCTTCTTTTAACCCCGGTCATGTAGATCTTATTTATATTACTCGGCATTGTATTCTTTTTTTTTTACCGACGAAATAATTTAAAAAAAAAAAAAAAAAAAAAATCAAGACCACCTGCTCTCCGCAAATACTTATGAAAGGACAAAACATGAATCAGATAAAATAGTTTTTAGAGATCTGATAAAAATGATAGGAAAACATAATTTTCTAACAAAAAATGAAATAAATTACATCACAAATTTTAAATGGAAATCTAGTAGTTTCTATATAACTCGAAAATTCATAAATGTCAAGAAATTATAGACAAAGTAAACGCATCTAATTCACTTTATATCGAAATGAAGCCAGCAAATGATCTTCAAGGTAGACCAATTATTGCTGAAATTAACTCACCAACATCACATTTAAGCCAGTTCTTACATATAATTTTGTCTCCAATTGTAACAAAACAAAAAACTTTCATTAAAGATGATTGGGATTTCTTAAAAAAGATACCATGAGCGTTAAATTCGGATAGTTGTATTTTGACTTATGACATTGTTAATCTATATACTAGTATTCCACACAATCTAGGTATAGAAGCATTAATGTACTGGATTGAAAAACATAAAAGTTTAATATATAAAAGATTTACACCTGAATTTTTCATTGAATCAACGAACTTTATTTTAAAAACCAACAACTTTCTATTCAACGACCAAATGTTTTGGCAAATTATTGGAACAGCCATAGGTACGAATTTCGCTCCAGAATATGCATGCCTAAAAATTGGATATTTAGAAGAAACAAGACTTTTTCCTAAGATTTTACCTAAATATTTTTCCAGTATAGATGTAAATGACATACAGGAATTTTATTATAGATATATTGATGATGGTTTCTTAATCTGGCCAAAACATTTAGATATCGTTAAGTTTAAAAACTCTTTGACCGAAATAGATAATTCAATCAGTTTTACTACAGATATGGGCAAAGAATTTATAATAGATGGAAATACTTTTAATATTATTAATTTCTTAAACATATCTATCATTCTTGAAAACAACAGAAAAATAAAAACGGATATTTAATATAAAGAAACCAATACTCACGACTACTTAGACTACAACAGACATCATCCTTATCATATAAAAAAGAACATCCTTTATGGCCTTGCTAAAAGAATAATTGTTTTCACATCTGATTACAATAAAGAAAAACAACGTTTAGCAGAACTAAAAACGTGGCTAAAAGAATACAAATATCCTAATAATATTATTGAAAAAGCATTTCACAACGCAAAACTCCAAGGACTAGCTCCCTAAAATCAATCAAAAGAAATTTTTCCTTTTAGTTACAACTTTTTACAGCAATCTGAACTGCCAACCTTTTATACTGAAACAACTCTTTTGCTTAATCTATCTTCAAATGAAAGAGTGAAAGAAGTTTTTTCTAATGTCCAACCAGTAATTGCGTATAAACAACCACCCAATCTACTGAGAAAACTTACTTCTTCAAAAATTCAATCAACCACTAAAGAAGTAGGATTATTTAAATGTAATGATAATCGTTGCAAAAAATGTAAATTCTACCTTCAAGAAGTTAAATCATTAACGACATCAAATGGTACTATATGGAACATAAAAAGCCATATTACTTGTAATAGTAAGAATGTAATATATTATTTAAAATGTTTGTCATGTAACAAGAAAGCTACATACACTGGAAAAACAAATAACCTACGACTTCGCACTAATGGGCACATTTCTAGTTGTAGAACTGGGCAATCAACAGATGGGTTTGATAACCATGTATACAATTGTCAACGTGCGCATAACTCCTTTATAGAACATTTTTTCTAGCATTTTGTGTTTGTGGAGCTAAAAAATGAAAAAACCTAATTTCTTATGAGAAACATTTTCACAACTAAAAATATGATACTTTTAATTGACATTATAATAA